TCCCAGACCCCCGTGTCCACACTCTCCAGATCACGGTGTCTGTTGGGTCTTCGTCAGCCGCCTGCCCATTCCCCAGCCTCCCTTAGCCCTGGAGACAATCAGACGCAGCGGGGAGTCAAGTCAAGCAGGAACTCGTTTATTAACAGGGAGCATCCCCTTTTTAAAGCAAAAGACTGCGTGGGAGGGGAGGAAATGGAACCAACCAATCACTGAAAGGCCACACCTTATCATGCACCTAAGCTTCCATGAGTTGTTTACACACTGAACCTAAACAAATCCGGCTCTGCCCACTCAACTTCCTCTCAGGGCCATCTTTGCTACCTGTGTTCCCCACAAGTGTCCAATATCCCCTGATTCCAATTTCCACCCACTCAGACCCCAGTGTCCATACTACCCAGAGTTCAGTGTGCACACTCCTGTAATCCCAGGTTCCACACTCCCCATATCCCAGTGTCAACACTCCAAAGAGTACAGTGTCCAAACTCCCCACATCCCAGTATCCAGAATCTGTAGATTCCAGTGTCCACACTGCCCAGATCCCAGTGTCCATACTGCCCACATCGCAGAATCCATAGATTCCAGTGTCCACTCTCCCCAGATACCAGTGTCCACACTCCTCATATTTCAGGATTCACACTCCCTCGATCCCAGTGAGCAGATTCCCCCTAACCCAGTGTCCACACTCCACAGATCCCAGTGTGCACAGAACCCACAGTCAGTGTGCCCACTTCTCTGATCCCAGGTTCCACACTCCCCATATCCCAGTGTCAACACTGCAAAGAGTACAGTGTGCCAACTACCCACATCCCAGTATCCAGACTCCATAGATTGCAGTGTCTACACTGCCCAGATCCAGGGTCGACACTCCCCCGATCCCAGTGTCCACACTCCCCACACTTTATAGTGTCCACATTGCATGGACTCATGTGTCCACATTCACGAAATCTTAGTGTCCTTACTAATCAAAGTGTCCACAATCCCCAGAGTGCAGTGTGCAGACTCCCCAGATGCCAGTGGACCGCACCCCACAGAGCACAGTGTCCACACTCCCCAGATCCAATGTGCAGAATATCCAGATCCCAGTGGCCACACTGCTCATATACCAGTGTCCACACTCCCCAGAGTCCAGTGTGCATACTCTTCTGAACCCAGGATCCACACTACCAAGATCCCTGGGTCCACATTCCCCAGATCCCAGCGTCTACACTACCTAGAACCCAGTGTCCACACTCCCCACGCATCAGTGTCCACAGAGCATGGACTCAAGTATCCACATTCTCCAGATCTTAGTGTCCTCACTAATCACAGTGTCCACATTCCCCAGATACCAGTGTCCACACTCCCCAGAGTGCAGTGTGCAGACTCTCCAGATGCCTGTGGCCACACCCCACAGAGCACAGTGTCCACACTCCTTAGATCCAATGTGCACAATACCAGATCCCAGTGACCACACTGCTCAGATACCTGTGTGCACACTATCCAGAGTCCAGTGTGCACACTCCTCTGATCGTAGGGTCCACACTGTCCAGATCCCTGGGTGCACTTTCCTCAGACCCACTGTCCACACAACCCAATTCCCAGTGTCCACACCCCACAGAGTAGTGTCCACACTCCCCAGAGTCCAGTGTCCTCACTACCAAGATCCGAGTGTCCATAATCCACAGAGTCCATTGTCCACATTCCCCAGATACCAGTGTCCACACACTGTGGATCCCAGTGTGTAGAGTCCCCAGACTCCAGTGTCCACACTCTGTGAGTACACCCTCCAGACTCCCTACACCACGGTGTCCACACTCCCTGGATCCTAATATTCACACTCATCCAATCCCAGTTTTCACAATCCGCAGATCCCAGTGTCCACTCCCCAGATCCCAGTATCCACACTCCCAACATCTTAGTGTCCACACTCCCAAGATCCCAGTGTTCACAGAACCCTGTTCCAAATGGGCACACTCCCCCATCCCAGTATCCACACCACACAGATCCCAGTGTCCTCACTCCCGAGCGCAGTGTCCACACTCCCAGATCACAGTGTGCACATTACCCAGAGACCAGTGTGCACACTCCTCAAATCCCATGCTCCACACTCCATATCAGTGTCCACACTCGAAAGAGTAGAGTGTCCAAATCCTCATATCCCAATTTTCAGACTCCATAGATTCAGAGATGCCAGTGTCCACACTCCCCGGATCCCAGTGTCGACCCTCCGGGTTCCCAGTGTGCACGCGGACGGGGCGGGGGCCGGCTCCAGCGCGATCCCGCGACGCCCGGCGCTAATTCTAATTCTGCAATTTAAGTGGAAATCAGCTCTTCGGGAGGAGGAGGAAGTCCGCGTGCACCCGATGCACGGGGCACGCAGGCCCCGTACCCTCCTCTTTCTGCCCGCCGCCCTCTGGCTCTTGTGTCTCGCGTCTGCAGCCGTCCCCATCCCCCTAACGCTGGCCCGGCCGCCCGCAAAGTAGCCGCACACTCCCCGCGGGAACGCGCCCTCCCGGCGCCAGCACCTGTCCCGGCTTCGCGGGACGCTCCGCGCCTGCGCCCTCACCCGCCCGCGGGCGGGTTCCTGGTGTCCGTGTGAACGTCCGGGTCAAAGACTCACGAGCACCAATGAGCGGAGGCTTCGAGGGCCGGGGGGCGGGGAGTAGGCGGGGCATCATGGCCGCCCCCGGCGCGCGGCATCCGGGACCTTGCGCGAGTC